CCTGTCTGGCTTCACGTAGTGTGAGTCCAAGTCTGAATCTGAGAGTTGCTACCTCAGACTCAAATTTGTAGGTGGGACAGCCCCTATAAAATACATTATGGGGGCCGCCACAGTTGGCACATGTGCGTGATTGTGCAGAGCAGTTTGATCGAGTATGGTCAGGTTGGGCACATAGTGGGCATCTGGCTGTGGAACGGCAATGTTTAGCTGGGTGTCCTAAACGCCAACAATTTTGGCACTGACGTGGATGAGGTTGGTATGGATGGACAGGGAGGGATTCTCCACCTATGTAAACGCTAAAGGGAAGGCCATGTCTACGGAAAGTAATTTTGAATATGTTAGTGGGTTTCTTTCGATGACTTCTGGGGGGAATGGAGTAGGACTCGCCTGTCTGTGAGACAGGCGAGTAAGACTTCTCCACAATCTGACCAATCTTTGTCATAGATTGGGCAATTTGCTGGGGAGATTGAAACAGTTCCGGTGCAAGTATTGAGGGTTGGATGGGGTTCTGCAAGGATGGGGTTACCATATAGATCAGTTAGTTTTGTTAATGCTATAGCTTGGGATACAGAGGTTACTGTGACGAGACGGGAGCGGTCGGGTCGGCTACGGAAAGAGACTTTGCCTACTTGTTTTTGGAGACATTGTTGGAAGAGAAAGGTGTTGTCAGAGTAGGGAGCTGTGGGAGGGATCACGAAAAATCGGTCCCACTTGGCTGCGCTAAATAGAGTATTTAAGATTGTTGTAGAGATATGAGTAGTAGAAGGGCGGGGGCGTGACGAAGAGGGAGTAGTGTTGAGGAGGTAGTGTTAAGGAGAGGTGGGCAATAAGGCTGTAAGGTATTAATAAGGGAGGATGGGGTAGTTGATGTTGAAGGTTGTGGGGGTAGAGGTGTTGAAGTTGAGCATGTTGGGAGAGTGGAAATGTCTCTTGGGGGTTGATTGTTGACTACTGTACTAGTAGGCATTGATGAGGGGTAGTTGTTGCAGTGTTCGGAGCCGTGGTCAAAGGAGAGCCTGGGGTCAGGGAATCGGGAGGGTTTGCATCGTTGGGGCTATTTGATAAAGGGGCAAGCCCCATTACCCCTAATAGAGGAGTTATGTCTTCATGATTGGCCATGGTAAGCCTGGAGTATGTTGGGGAGAAAAACAGTCCACCCCTCAGGGTCCCCTTGAGGGGTAAGGGCTAGGTAACTAAATCAGGGGAATACCGTGCCTATGGCTCCCTCAGGCTGTTAAGGACTGGCACAAAGTCAGCCTTTCATCCTTTCAGCACGGCTCTCACACCTTAGGAGGTGGATAGTAGAAGGGATTGATGAAGGGACAGAAACGAAAAAGTAGGAAGGGAAAAAAGACCATGCAAAATTAGTTGAGTCGAGGGCTGAGTCCCAAGGTTGGGTCTCTGCCTCCTAAGCCCCCCCCTCCCCCCACGACAACAAACGGGTAAGGAATTTGGGGGGGGGGGGGGGGGAGATGTTACTGTGACGAGACGGGAACGATCGGGTCGGCTACGGAGAGAGACTTTACCTACTTATTTTTGGAGACATTGCTGGAAGAGAAAAGTGTTGTCAAAGTAAGGAGCAGTGGGAGGGATCACGAGTATTTAAGATATTTGTAGAGATTTGTAAAAGGACGGGGCATGTGGAAGAGGGAGTAGTATTGACAGAGTAGTAGTATGGAGAGATGGACACTAAGGCTGTAAAGTAATAAGGGAGGGTGGGGTACTTGATGAAGGTTGTGGGGATAGAGGTGAAGTTGAGTAATAGGAATATGTCCTGGAGATTGAGTGTTGACGTGGGTGAATAATGTACTAGTAGGCATTGAGGAGGGGGTAGTAGTTGCAGCGTTCGGAGTCGTGGTCAAAAGAGAGCCTGGGGTCGAGGAATCGGGAGAGTTTGAATTGGTGGGTTAATTTGATGAAGAGGGAAGCCTCATTCCCATTCCTCAATTAATAAGGTATAACATCATTATTGGCCATGGTAAGCCTGGAGTACATTGGGGAGAGAAACAGTAAGGGATAGACCACTAAAATAGGAATACCGTGCCCATGGCTCCCTCAGCCCATTCAGGACTGGCCCAAAGTCAGTCTTTCCTCCTTTCAGCATGGCTCTCACACTTTAGGAAGTGGATAGTAGAAGGGGCTGGGGAAACAAAAACAAAAAAGCAGGAGAAGAAAAAAGACCAAGCAAAATTAGTTGAGTTGAAGGCTAAGTCCCAAGTAGGGGAATTCCCCAGCACTGGGTACCCAGTCTTTGCCTCCTAAGCCCCCCCCTCCCCCCACGACAACAAACGGGTAAGGAATTTGGGGGGGGGGGGGGGGAGATGTTACTGTGACGAGACGGGAACGATCGGGTCGGCTACGGAGAGAGACTTTACCTACTTATTTTTGGAGACATTGCTGGAAGAGAAAAGTGTTGTCAAAGTAAGGAGCAGTGGGAGGGATCACGAGTATTTAAGATATTTGTAGAGATTTGTAAAAGGACGGGGCATGTGGAAGAGGGAGTAGTATTGACAGAGTAGTAGTATGGAGAGATGGACACTAAGGCTGTAAAGTAATAAGGGAGGGTGGGGTACTTGATGAAGGTTGTGGGGATAGAGGTGAAGTTGAGTAATAGGAATATGTCCTGGAGATTGAGTGTTGACGTGGGTGAATAATGTACTAGTAGGCATTGAGGAGGGGGTAGTAGTTGCAGCGTTCGGAGTCGTGGTCAAAAGAGAGCCTGGGGTCGAGGAATCGGGAGAGTTTGAATTGGTGGGTTAATTTGATGAAGAGGGAAGCCTCATTCCCATTCCTCAATTAATAAGGTATAACATCATTATTGGCCATGGTAAGCCTGGAGTACATTGGGGAGAGAAACAGTAAGGGATAGACCACTAAAATAGGAATACCGTGCCCATGGCTCCCTCAGCCCATTCAGGACTGGCCCAAAGTCAGTCTTTCCTCCTTTCAGCATGGCTCTCACACTTTAGGAAGTGGATAGTAGAAGGGGCTGGGGAAACAAAAACAAAAAAGCAGGAGAAGAAAAAAGACCAAGCAAAATTAGTTGAGTTGAAGGCTAAGTCCCAAGTAGGGGAATTCCCCAGCACTGGGTACCCAGTCTTTGCCTCCTAACCCCCCCCCCCCCCACTGAAACAACAGGCAAGGAATTGGAAGGGAAAGCTTTGTGAAGTCAATACTGGTTAAAACATTTTTTTTATTATAATTTATTTCAGTATACTCTATATAACCCACTTACTTTTTTTAAAAATAGTAATGTCATTTTATTCTACATCCTTAGTCATGACAAAGTTGACATGCAAGTCATTTAATGATACTGATGAGGATTAGCTAAAGGTATGGCAAAATAAAACAAAATTATCTTTCACTTTTATTTTTCAAGGATTAATATTTCATATCAGGAGTCAGTCAATATTCATAGCACATATACTTAATTTTCTCTTAAAGTTTGAGAAAGAATACACACAATTATCTCCCAAGGTCTAAAAAAACAAATGAAAGTACACTACTTGACCTTATGTGATACATATGTGGATACTGGGCCATAAATGATTTGGTAGATCTACTCCTACAAAACTATGTTTGGCCAGCTTGATATCAAAGAATTTATATTTCTCAAAGGAAACTACCTTAAAATATGAACATTTTCCTATTATCAAAACTTTGTCTGATCCCAAAATTTAGGGACATGCCACCTTTTTATTCCTGAAAATTTAGTCTTAAAACCTACCTGACTCCCCATAATTCCACTTTTAGTTGGTTTTCTGGTGCCATTACAGCATCTGACCAGTGTGTGATTTTAACAATTCTATTTTGTTATTCTTTGTATACATCTCACATACAATCAATACAAAAAATAAAGCCACTGGTACATCACATCTTCAAACATGCAGCAAAAACAAAGCACTAACATCAGTCACAACAGTAAAAAAGTAACAGTGATAATACTGTAGTAAAAAAAAAATGGTTATGTGATGATAAAAATGATGAGCTGTAGGAAAGAGTATTACAATAATAATAATTACCATAAAAACATCACATCATTTTTCCTTCAGTTTTCTAACCACCATGAAAAAAATTCCACCAGTTTTCACACACTCCATCATTTCATAGTCTGGCTTCTTTTGTGAGCAGTGCATATCTAATTGTGTACTCTTGCTCATGTGTTTGTGGGTTCTGTAAGTATTGTCCATTATATCAAATTGTGCTTTCTATAAGGAAAGAAATCTGAAAATGTAAATATTTATTTTAATTTTAATGGTAATCACCTGTATTTCAGTTGTAACATGTAACATCCACAATAAACATTACCAAATCATTCAATCACAGTTACCATATTCCACATATCACAATGAAAATTCTTAACATTGGAAAAAAAAACAAAAAAAACATATATATCAATTTTGTAATCCAAAATAT